ATGAATCAAGGTCAACGAGATACGATTCGGAAAGGTCAAGGGAAGGTCAATAGAAGGTCACAGGAATATCAAGAGGTCACTTGTAGGCTAAGGCTAGGTCAAGAAAGGTCAATAGGTCACGGGAATATTAAGGCAAGGTCAAGGGAAGGTCAAAAATGTCAAGAGAAGGTCACAGGGTCAAAAAATGTCAACATCACAGGAAGGTCAAAAAATGTCAAGAAAAGGTCACAGGAAGGTCATGCAATGGTCACGGGAGGGTCAAAGTCAACTCAAGGGAAGGTCCAAGGAAGTTTTAAAAAAGGTCAAGGGAAGGTCATGTAAGGTCAAGAGAAAGTAAAAACAAATAAAATAATGATAATGATAACGTAGAAACAAAAATAAGAAAAAACGATAACGAAGAAGAGGAGGATGACAAGAATAATAAAAAAAGAAAGGAAACAGTCCAACTAGGAGATAAACAGTAATAACAAAGAAAGTAATGATGATAACAACAATAACACACCAGAGAAATAATAACAAAATGAAACGCATTTAAGATCACGAAAAATAGTAACAAAGGAAATCAAACGAATTAAAAATAACGAAAGAAAATAACAAAGGAAATAAACCGAATTTAACGAAATACGGTATCAAAAGAGAAGGAAACGACTAAAAGATAAGGAAAGAGTACCAAAGGAGAGAAGGATAATAAGGATAATAGAGAAAGAGTGTAAGAAGCAGAAACACGAGAGAGAAAGTTGCCGGAGGGAGGACAACGCCAAAAGGGAATGATGAAAATAATAATTATTTTTTTTAAAGATAATAGGCTCGAGATCTACATTGGGAAAGGCTGGGTCTGGCTCTAGGGGGAGAGAGAGAGGGAGAGAAAAGGAGGAGGGAAGGAGGGAGAGAGAGAAAAGAGGGAGGGAGAGAGAGAGAGAAAAGGAGGGAGGGAAGGAGAGAGAGAGGGAGAGGAGGATAGATAGATAGGGATAGATAGATAGAGAGAGAAGGATGGAGAAGAGAGGAGAGAGAGAGAGAGAGAGAGAGAGAGAGAGAGAGAGAGAGAGAGAGAGAGAGAGAGAGAGAGAGAGAGAGAGAGAGAGAGAGAGAGAGAGAGAGAGAGACGAGAAAGAGGAGAGAGAGAGAGAGAGACAGACAGAAGACAGACAGACAGAGACAGAAGAGAGGAAGAAGGGGAGGGGGAGGCAATGGTAAGTGACATGACGACTTCGACTTTGACCTTTTGCATGACAAGGAGGTCATGACCAGCGGCCGTGTCCTGTGTCCGCTTTCCTCTGCCTGACAACGAGCGCATGACACTGAGGTTGAGATTAGCTCCTTCTCGCCGTCTCTTTTCAGGGTTGAAAGTAAAGGTAGTATGGTATGTATGTGTATGTTGTATGTATGTAAACACACTCACACACACTTACACACTTACACACTGCACAGTTCACACGCACTTACACACATACACACATACGTACACACACACACAACTTATACTCACACAACACCACACAACTCTCTCTTCTCTCTCTCTCTCTCTCTCTCTCTCTCCTCTCTCTTCTCTCTCTCTCTCTCTCTCTCTCTCTCTCTCTCTCTACTCTCTCTCTCTCTCTCTCTCTCTCTCTCACAAACACACAGACCCACACACACACACACGCTCACATATACATACATACATACATATAAAGCATCCAAGTCACAGGTTACAAAAGTCACGCTATCGCCGCCTTATCTCCCGGATCCCGCCCACGCCCACTCGCCTTGTCTCCCCCTGCATAATGGGCGTCTGAGTGAGCGTGGTCGCGAGCAGACGCCCCGGAGACACGAAAGGCTGAAGGGGGGCGACAGTCGCTGCCCTCGCTCGCCGCCTTCGGGAAAGGGGCGGCGGGGTGTGGGGGGGGCGAGTGGAGGAAGGGGAAGGGGGAGGGTAGGGGGGGGTGAGGGAAGTGGGGGGAACGGGAGGGTGGGGAGGGGCCGACTGGGAGGAAGGGGGGGAAGTTGGGGGAGGGGATGAATGGGGAAGGGGTGTGGGAAGAGGAAGGGGGAGGGGAGAGGGCGAGTGGGGGGGGGAAGAAAGGGGTTATGGGGAGTGGGGGGAGGTGAGGGACGAGGGGGGGGGGCGAAGGGGAAGGAATGGGAAGTGGGGGAGGGGGAGAGGGGAGGGGAGGGGACGGGAGGGGAGGGATGAATGGGAACGAATGGGGGGGGGAGAGATAGGGGAGGGGAGGGGACGTGTGGGGGAAAGGTGGTCATCAACGTTTTCTATATTCCTTTTTCCTATTTTGAAATATACTCGTCTTTTTTATCTACTCTCAATATTTTCTTATTTATTCTTCTCTCTCTCCTATTCCTCATCTTTATCGTCTCTCTTCCTCTCCCTAATTATCATCGGCTTCTTCTTTTTCTTTTCTTGTGATTTTAGTTCTTTTTATACGTCACCTTATCCTTATTCTATCATTTATCTGTTTATTATAATCTTCACCATCGTTCATCTTATATTGAAATTAATATT